TGTGGCATAAAGCTGATGGACCCGCGCTCGTACGGAGCAAAGGTAGGCTGCTGCTGTTGATTTCCTCGTGCATATGATGAGCTGTCGAGACTCATGGGTGTTGCTCCGTTGTTGTTGCTGTTGTGTGACTGCGCAGGTGCCGATTGCTGGTGTTGCTCGTAGAAGGATATGAAGGAGAAGAACTTCTCCATCATGCTCTGGTCGAAGTCTGCAGGCTGATTCGCGGGAGTCTTGGTAGATGTTGCTCTGGGTCTTGTTGCCGTGCCCTCCTCTGTCTGTAGGCCAGAGGCAGGAGGTGGAGTAGGAGTAGTGCCCTGGGAGCCGTTGGAGTTGCTCCGTTCCTTTTGTGTGGCCATACTTGTTGATGTTGGCGGTATAGAAGTTGAATTTCCCCTGATAGCTCTCATGCCATGTTGGGCTGAAAAAACCCTTAGGATCTTTGCAGGGGTGAACTCTGGGTAGAGTTGATGTAATAGCGGAAGCGTTAATAAGGATTTGTGAACCACCTTGCGCTAGTATGTGAGGGCAAAGTAGATTGATTAAAACAAGGAGATACAAGATTATATATGAGTACAAGGAATACGAAGAGATGTAGTTGTATCTACTTTACTGTTGCTGTTGCGGTTCGATACAGTGACGACTCGGGCAACTGTTCTGTAGCGAGTCAGTTGTGTGTCCTTGCTGTCGCGCTGTACTTGTCAGGTCAAAGGTCGCTGACCTTTGACTCTCGCGTAACCTCCAGCAACTTCTCAACCTCCGAGGGTTGACTCGCGAGTGCCTCGATATGATTTACTTCGCTTCTGGTGCGGTGTTTCGACACGACAGAGGCGCTTACGATTTGTTGTTTCCAACATTGTCAACCGCTTCGCTGTTGCTTGGTTGACTCGGTGTTGCTTCGCTGTGAGTCTGCTTCGTTCTTGTTATAGTGCTCGATACATCAGAAGCGTGAACTATATGTTTCCAACATATGAGATCTGAAACGGATATACAAGGACTATGCAGATTCATTTTAGCATAACTCTTTGCTATGCCGTTGCAAACACAGGTAAATCCGCTCAAGTCAATAATTTCAATCCCAATAATTTTTCATCAATGAAGGAGCATTTGTTAAAGATCCATGGACATTGAGCTAATCTAGCAATCAATCTTTAACTGTTATTTGATGGTAAAATGCATACAATTGTCTACATACGTTGTGAAGTGCTTACTATGGAAATGTTGTTTGTTTACCAGAGTACAGTAATTCGACTCTGTCAATACTATAGTTTCGTGCCGTGTACAGAGTTGTGTGTATAGTGTAATGCGTTTCTTTACGGCGATCTACTTTTGGTGGAGAGGGAGAGGCTTGCCAATTTGAACGAGGCGGCGAACTTCGTCATTACTGTATCGAAATAGCATTCCAGGAATCCAGTAGCGTATCCTAATCGAATTTCCAGCTGCTGGCAAATCTCTGACTCTACACCGTATTCTGGATGCTGTTTTTTTTTGTTTTCATGCACACATAAATTTCCCGAGTTCACAGTAGTCAGATCAAGGGTTTAGGATTGAAGTATTCCTTCCGCGTGCTTTACACATCTGGGGTTTCGTTCACGCTCTTTTCAACAGCATTTCTGAAAGCGTTTTTCGTTTTACGTAAACACACTTTATGGGACTTTGCTCATCTCAACCTCATCCCTTCCCACCATGACCAGTGCCCCTCAGGTGAGCCTACTGAATGTACAGAACCTACTGCTTGGTTTGGTGTTGTTCTGGTATTCCTCCTCCGCTCCACTGTTCTCACTTCCGCGGCCACAGTGCATCCATTATTTGCAGAATATGTACCACCCTTGCCTCTCATTCACATGGAGGCAACTTCACCCTTCGTTTGCAGGAACCGTCTTGTGAAATACCAATGCTGACGAGAAACTATGCTCCTAAGTTGGCGCACTGCAGTGGCAGAGTGAACCTCTTTAGCAGCTCGGATCCGCCAGGGACACCCAAAACTAATCAAGAGCCTCGGTCCCTCCATGAACCACCCACCCATCCCTTCCACCACAGACGTCCAATGCCAGCTCAGCAACACTGCCAACTCCTCCTCACTTCACCCGGCAGCTACTGTAGATTAGTTGGGGTGGGGTGGGGACCGAACAACCTTGTCTCAGCGCAAGAATTGCTCCTAAGGTTGCCTCGCCCTTCCGCTTCCTCACGATTTGACCGCTTTTGCAAAGCGAACCGTGTGTGTGTCCTTCACATCACATTCAACTGATCCCTTTCGCTTGTGTGTTCCTCCATAGGCGCTACATCTGATCTGATCATCATCTGCTGGCGGTGATCGCGCGCAATGGTGGTAGCATCAATGGTTGGCTTGGCCTGTCCTCTGTCATCGAATCACAGCAAGGATTCACACGTAAGCAACGTAGCAACCACACAATCATGCTGCGTGGGGGTTTTGTTTCTGTGGCTGACAACGCTGGTGTTGACTGGAGTCGAGCACGATGGTTCGGGGAGGGGGGGGGGGGGTGGGGAGGGGCAGGGGGTGAAAGAGGCTGGAGATGGGGGGAGGGAAGTGGGAAGAGGTACTGTACAGCACTGTACCAAACTTGAACATAACGATGTTAAACACCAGACCAGAACATTCTATACCGTAGTGAAAGCATATGAAAACGCACTGAAACGTTCCGGAATATTCTGGAAATTACAGACAGCAGTACAAGCACAGAATCGTGTTCCATCAGCCGCACAATCACTGTTTCCACGGGCTTGGATGCGGTTATAAAGATTTCGTACATGTAACACATAGCAGGCTTTCTGTGCGGTTTCGAGTCGAATTTGGGTTCTCAATTATCGAGATCGTCAACTTGCACCCGTTCCCCAACAAGAGAACATTGAGAGAAAGGCTGGCTAGAAGCAAGCTGAGCTTTAGGTTAGGAGACTTCGAGCACAATACACTATCCTGGTGATCTCGTATCTCGATTTTCGCGTACCACTGGACAACGGAGCGACGGTGTCACGGTGGTTAGAGAAAAACAACGTGTGCTTCTGGATGGATGGAGCATGAACCACAATCAATGGCGTACGCAAGCATTCGTTTTCTAGTTTCCGTTTCATGAGTGGCTTCCTCTCTTCTCTGGATCGTTTCAGATTTAGTGCTACTGTACCAGCAGTTCGGGCGATGTTGGTCCTGAAATCCTGATTCCTCCTCATGGCCCAGCTCTCCCACTCTCGCGAATCACTATCCAGACCGGTTGTCACCTGATACTTTTGAGAATTCTCAGAAGTCACAATCAATCACCAGCTGAGTGACCTCCGCTGTGCCATAGATTCTACTATAGTCAAGAGTTTTTTTTATTGAATACCTCCTTATTCACCAATTGGTCCTCCTTGGGTTCGGCAGCCGCAAGGACCGTCTTAACATTGATATTGCCGCTGCTCCATCCGCGCGCGGGGGTCCCAGTTGACTCCGAGATCACCCCAAGTCCTCCTTATAAGCAGCTTCGGCGGCTGCACCAGTCTGTCCTTGAGTCGAAATCGTCGTGGCTCCGGCGGCAGACTCAATTGGCTGTAGCAGGGGTGCTGCTAGCATCATTATGGCGGACTGCGCCTCGCCCTTCAGTTTCCCCTCTCCGCATGACGCGCCACGTGTCACGCGAGATGGTTCTGCCACAATTGGCGGTTTTTCCGAGGGCAGTGAGCAGGCGAAGGCATCAGGAGTCTTTGCGTTGTCGACATTTTCGCGGCGACGCGTCACGACAACAGGCGCGTCAGCCTGGCCGCCTAAGTTTGATGAGGTGCCGCTGACGGAAACCGTCGAGGTGACGGACGGCTTTAACAGCTCCGTCCCTGAATTTTCGGACCCTCAAACTGCGGAAATTTCTGCTCCAGTCCCTGCGCCAGTCTCTGCGCCAATCACAGCGCCAATCGCCACGCCAGTTCCCACGTCAGTCCCCGCGCCAGTCCCCACTCTGATTGGGGCGCCAGCAGCTATCGACCCGGAAAAGCTGGAAGCATTTCAGCTGAAAATCCTCTCCTCGGTTACTTATCAGCGCCGGGCCGAATCACAACACGACACGTGTCTTGCGGGACTCGCGCCGCCATATCAGCCGGACGTCTCTCCGCTTCGCTGTCTTAGTCCGCGGAGCGGCGGCGGCTCCTCTTCCGCCGACGGCCGCCATTTCCCGCGCTTCTCTCCTCTGCCGTACCCGCGCAGTCCGCGGCCGTCGCGGCAGCAAGTTCCGGCTTCCGCGGCGGCGGGTTTCGAGGCGCGTCAGGACCAATCAATAACGACGGCGTTGCTGTCGGCTCCGACCTCAGACCTAGAAGTATTTTCGGGCTTAGATACTACCTTCGTTCTTCCGAGAAGCGCCACGACTACTAGTAGTACCAGCACTGCCAGTACTAATAGTAATATTAGTACATGTGGTTACCAATGTCTTTCGCTCGTGACATCGCGACTGTCGTCTCTTCCCTTCCCCAAGTCCCTCACCTGCCCGCCGGAGGCTGCGACGACCGTTTCCGCGGCGGCGGCTTGCGCCACCAGCGCCGGCGGTTCCGCCGCTTCCGCTCTTGAAGCCACGTCTCTTCCATCCCCTACCGCTTGCGCGGGCGCTGGCGCGAAACCGTCCTCCTCCGCCGTTCGCGCCGCTCTTCCCGCGGGGGATACCGACGCGGAACCGCTCTTTGTCAGATTCTCCCGCGCCTCGTCGTGCGGGAACCTGCCGTCTCTCCAATCCGCCGTTTCCCCGTCCCCGCGGCGTCAACGGACCGTGCCGCGCGAGCAACCACTTCTTCCTCAGTACAGTTTACGCGCCGCTACCACCTCCGCCGCCGCCGCCGTGATGGTAATAACTGCTCCGGCGGCGTCCGCGGCGTCCGCGGCGATCGAGGCGGGGGGATATTCGGGGAGCGCCGCCGGCCGGCAGAGGCGGCCGTTCGACGCGGCCGTTCCGCCGCCTTCTCCGCCGCTTTCGCCGCCGCGTGCCGCGCACTTGGCGCAGCGTTTCCGCGCGGGGGTGGTGGCGCAGATGGTGCGCCAGTCGCAGTGCGCGCAGCTGGTCGTGCGGCCCGCCGATGGCGCCGTGACTTGCGCCAGCCGAGGCGCGGAGAGGGTGCTGCGCGCAGAAAAGGGGCGGCTGGAGGGGGTGAGTGAGTGAGGAGCGAGAGAGTGAGGGAGCGAGTGAGTGAGAGAGCGAGGGGCTGAGTAAGAGAGCGAGGGGTTGAGCGAGTGTGTGAGGGGGTGACCGTGTGTTTGAGCTCCCAATGTACGAGTTTCTCTCCCCAACCCCCCCCAACCCCTCTCCCCAGTCTTCCATTCCTCTCCCCTCCCCTCTTCGCTTGCATTCCCTCATTTTCTCTCGTTTCTCCCCCAACTCGATCCCACCACCGTGTTCTCCACCAACCCCTCTCTTCCCACTCCTCCGTTTCTCCCCCCTCCCCACTCCCCTTTCCATTCCTTCCCCCTTGCTTTCTCTTGTTTCTACATTTAGGTCGACTAAAATTCCGCCCCTGCTTTTTCCCCCACCACCATCCTGACATCTCAGCTTTTTTCCTGCCCCCGTTTCTTGTTCCAGAACCCACACTCACCCTCCACCCCCCTTCCCTCCAACTCTCTTACACGCTCCCTCTGCCGCTCCGCCTTTGTCCTCCTCCCTGTCATCCGTTGCCCCTTCCCTCAGAGCTCCTTTCTTGGAATGGCGGGTAGTGCGTTGCCTTTGGACACGTGGCGGCATCTCGTTGGCCAGCTGGAGAGCGGCAGTGTGGACGTGGTAACCCTATCTCTGCCGCTGCGGCGTTGCAACGATGGGCATGGACCAACATTAGTATCAGCTGCACCAGCATCAGCAGCAGCACCGGAAGCAGGAGCAGCACCAGCAGCAGCAGAAGCAGCAACAGAAGCTGCAGCAGCAGCAGCACCAGATGCAGCAGCATTAGAACCCACAACGTCAGCTGTGACCCCCCCCTCCGCGCCCCCTCTCTTGCGCCCTGAGGCACATCCGCGCACAGGCGCGCAGTGGCTGTACCGCTGGATGGTGGGGCGAGAGAAGCGCGCAGGGGGGAAGGGGAAGGGCGCAAAGGGGGAGGGGAAGGGCGCTGTGGGGGAGGAGGGGGAAGAGCGCGAGGATAAGGGAGAGGGGAGGGAGGAGCGTGAGGAGAGGAAGGAGCGGAGGGAGGAGGAGGCGGAGGAGGAGGAAAACAAGGAGAGGCAGCAGCAGCAGCAGCAGCAGCAGCAGCAGCAGCAGCAGCAGCAGCAGCAGCAGCCACAGCCGCAAGGCCAGAGGCAGCAGCAGCAGCAGCAGGGTCAGCAGGGGCTGGAGCAGCAGGAGCAGCAGGAGCAGCAGGGGCAGGAGAGGGAGTGGTTGGTGGCGGTGTGCATTCAATTCTTTGAAGTTGGGCCGTGCAAAGACCTGGTCATAACAGGTGTGCTCTCCTTCCCTGTCTTTGCTATCGCCTGCTCTGCTCTTCTCTCACCCCGCCTGCTCTGCTCTTCTCTCACCCCGCCTGCTCTGCTCTTCTCTCACCCCGCCTGCTCTGCTCTTCTCTCACCCCGCCTGCTCTGCTCTTCTCTCACCCCGCCTGCTCTGCTCTTCTCTCACCCCGCCTGCTCTGCTCTTCTCTCACCCCGCCTGCTCTGCTCTTCTCTCACCCCGCCTGCTCTGCTCTTCTCTCACCCCGCCTGCTCTGCTCTACTCTCACATCGCCTGCTCTGCTCTTCTCACACCTGAGTTGTCTCCAATCTTGTTCTCCTTCTATGCCTAATCTTCGCCTCTCCTCTACTTTCTGGTTTTCTGGTTGTCCTCACTTTTCATTTCTGGTCTGGTTTTCTCTCCTCGTCCATCCTCCCTCCTCACTCCTTGCAGTCTTAACATCCCCCGAGGCCGCTTCACGTATTTCCAAACCATCGCCTGGGCACCCTTCCGAAGCTAAGCACGAGGCTTGGCAGCAGCCCCAAGCCACACGTCCGGCGTTTGTGCAAGAAGCAAAGAGCCACCACACTTGCAATGATGCTGACATTCCTCCACTGGTGACGAGGCAGACCGAACCTCACACCGAGCCTCTCTCTCAGGTTCGGAAGCATCCCGCACCGGAGATGCCCCAAGCTGTGGCTCCTTCAACTACCTCCTCTGCTGCTGCTGCTGCTGCTGCCAGCTTGGCGGAGCAATCCGCCAGCTCAGCTGACCTATCTGCCAGCTCAGAAAACCCAGCTGCCAGCTCAGATGACCAGCCTGCCAGCTCAGCAGCAGGCAGCACGGAGAGGAAGGGGGGAGTGAGCAAGTTGCAGCAAAACGTGTTTTCCACACTCCACATACCACTGGCCTCCCTCCCAACCAATCCTCTTCTAGCCGCCCTCTCACAACCCAGAACTCCCCCCGCCAAGCCTGCGTCCCAAAGCAGAGGCGCAGGCTCGGTAGAGGGTTGGTTCCGGAGCTTGTACAGCGGCGGCAGGAGGAAAAAGGTACAGCAGAGCGTTCTGCCGATCCTGAACCGCCGAGCCGGTCGGGGAGGTTTGGGTGGTGGAGGAGGGAGGGATGGGGAGGGTGCACATGGGGAGACGATAGCAGAGATTGCGAATGCTGCTAAGGCAGCTTCTGCTGTTGCTGCTTCTTCCACTGCTGCTGCTGTCGCTGCTGCTGCCGCTGCTCTAAACGAAGTCGCTGATTCAACCACCTTTTTGGATACCACCACCTCGCTTGCTGATTGCACCACCCTTACCACCCTTGAGACAGGGGCAGGGGCGAAGAAGGCGTTCCAAAAGTCGTCTGTTGTTGTAGTTGCTTCTACCACCCTCGTGGATTGCAGCCCAGCTTCTGTTCCCTCTGCTGCTGCTCCCTCTGCTGCCGCTCCTGCTTCTACTTCGCACTCTCCCCCTTCCCCTGTCTCTGCCTCTGCTGCTTTCCCTCTCCCTCTCCCTCTCTCGCCCCCTGCTTCCTCCCCCCTCTCTTCCTTCCCCCTCTCTTCCTTCGCCCCTGCCCCTGTTCCCCTCTCTGCCCCTCTCTGTGCCTCAGCCTCAGCCGCTATTCCTGCCACGTCTCCTCCTCTTACTCCCACTCTCATCCTTCCTCCTTCTCCTCCTCCTCCATCTCCTCATCCTCCCACTCCTTCACCTGTCCTCACCCCGAGAACCGCCTCACGGATTGAGGCACCTGAAAACGCCCTACTTTCCCTCGCCCCTCCCACCCTCGCCCCTCCCACCCTCGCCCCTCCCACCCTCGCCCCTCCCACCCTCGCCCCTCCCACCCTCGCCCCTCCCACCCTCGCCCCTCCCACCCTCGCCCCTCGCACCCTCGCCTCTCCTGCTCTCACCCAAAAACCCTCCTCACGGGTCGACGCGGCGCCTGACAGGTCCTTCCTTACCCTCGCCCCTCCGACCCTCTCCCCTCCTGCCCTCACCCCGTCTACCCTCGCCCGCCCCACCCTCGCCCCTCTTGGCCTCGCCTCGCCTACCCTTGCTCCTCCTCCTCCTCCTCCTCCTCCTGCTGCTGTCCTCACCCCGAGACCCGCCTCACGGGTTGAGGCGGCGGCGCCTGACGATTCTCTCCTTACGCTCGCCCCTCTTGGCCTCGCCTCCTCGGAATCATACTCTGAGCTGCGCAAGGGCAAGCTGAGCACGTGGGACGTGGCTCTGGCACAAAAAGCAGGCGCTGCTAAGGCAGACGGGCACGAGGAGAAGCAAGCAGGAGAGACGGAGAAGGGGGCGGGGCAAGGAGGAGGGAGGGAGCAGGGGGAGCAAGGGGAAAATGAGCAGGTGGAGCAGGAGCGGAGGGACCAGCAGCAGCAGAAGCAGCAGCAACAGGTGCAGCTGCAGCAGCAACCGGTGGGGATGAGGCGCATTCGGGTGGATCCATCACAGAAGCCAAGGGGGGCGTCGGAGACGTGGCTTCTGCACGACTTCAAGGAGCGACCCGGCAACCAGTTCAAGTTCCGCATGCTCTTTGAGCTCTCCTCCGTGAGTGAAGTATTGTTGAGTTGCCTTAGAGCCCATTTGCCCCCCCTTCTCTTCCATGACATCCCGGCAACCAGTTCAAGTTCCACATGCTCTTTGAGCTCTCCTCTGTGAGTGCAGTGTTTTGAGGCGCCTGAATACCTCTCAAGACTCGTCCCTGGCTCGTCGGAAGGACCACCTCATTGGCCACACCATCCAGTCGCTCTGTCTGTCCCTCTCATCCCCAACCCCTCCCCCGTGCCTTTCCCTCGCACCCCACGCTCCCTTCCCCCTCAGGTCCCCAAGATGCTGCTCAGCTAGAATGGGAGAGTGCTAGACTGCAACCAACCAACGGTGCGGATGATGAAAGCGAGGAGTAAGGACCACCTCATAGGCTGCACCATCCAGTCGCTCTCTCTGTCCCTCTCAACCCCTCCCCTCCTCTTCAGGACCCCAAAATGCTTCTGAGCAAGGACGGCAGGCTCTTAGACTTCAATCAGGCAACAGTGAGGATGATCAAGGCGAGGAGCAAGGACCACCTCATAGGCCGCACTTGTGCGGTCCTTCTCATCACACCCTCTCCCCCACCACCACCCCGCTCCTCTCCGCCTCAGGACCCCAAGATGCTGCTGAGCAAGGATGGCAGGCTCTTAGACTGCAACCAGGCAACGGTGCGGATGATAAAAGCCAGGAGCAAGGACCACCTCATAGGCCGCACCATCCAGTCGCTCCGTCTCTCCCTCTCTCATTTCCACCCTCTCCCTCTCCCCCACCCGCCTCTTCAGGACCCCAAAATGCTTCTCAGCAAGGATGGGAGACTGCTGGACTGCAATCAAGCGACAGTGAGGATGATAAAAGCGAGGAGCAAGGACCACCTCATAGGCCGCACCATCCAGTCGCTCTCCCCGCTGCTACAGCCGGGCACGGGCCAGCCCGCTACAGCCCTGCAGGCCATTCTCGACGAGCTCGCCGACAGCAACGCCGCCGGCAACAACAGCCCTTCCGGCTGTAGCAGCGGCAGCTGCAGCGGCGCCGGCTGTAGCAGCCCCAGCTGCAGCAGCCGCAGCAGCAGCAGCAGTGGCGGCGGCGGTAGCAGCAGCGGCGGTGGGGGCAGCAGCGGGGGCGGGAACGGGAGCGGGAACGGGAGCTTGGGCGGGAACGGGAGTGGGAACGGGAGCGGGAACGGGAGTGGAGCATGCGATTTGCGGCGGTTTGAGTGGGTGTTTCAGGATGATGAGGGGGGTGTGGTACCCGTTGAAGCCCTTTGCCGCCTTGTGGACCTCATGGGTGCTCCCCAGGGAGGAGGTGGAGGGGGAGGAGATACGGGTAAATTGCAGTCTCAATTGCACGCCCAGCAGCCACAGTCCTCCTCCTCCTCCTCCTCCTCCTCCTCCTCCTCCTCCTCCTCCTCCTCCTCCTCCTCCTCCTCCTCACACTCCTCACACTCCTCTCACTCGCGGGCAGCGGTCTATCTGATGGTGTGGCACGATCTCACGGAGGTGAAGCGCAAGGAAGCTTCCTTGGAGCGCGCCAAGCAGGAGGCGGAGCGGGCAAGGCAGGCGGCAGAGAGGGCGAGTCTGTCCAAGACGCAGTTCCTGGCCAACATGAGCCACGAGATCCGGACCCCCATGAATGGTGAGATCTGCTCCCTGAGACTGATCAGATACTCTTGAGAAATCTTTCTTGTCAAGCTGTGTCGAACAGAGAGAGAGGGCGAGTTCGTCCAAGACGCAGTTCCTGGCCAACATGAGCCACGAGATCCGCACGCCCATGAACGGTGAGATCTGATTCCTATGGATGGTGTAGTTGCCTCTTTTGGGTCGCTGTGTGCCGAAAAGAGAGGGCGAGTCTGTCTGTCCAAAACGCAGTTGCTGGCGAATATGAGCCACGAGATCAAAACGCCCACGAATGGTGAGATCTGCTACTCATGAATGGTCCGGTCATATGCTGCTAGACACGGCTCTAAGCGAGGAGCAGTGCATGTTGGCTGGGCTGGGACCATCCGCTCCTGCAGTTAGGGGCTTCTGCAGATCCTCTACTCTCCCACACGACACATCCCTTTTGTTTGAGGTTGATTTTGAGAATTCTCAAAATCAACCTCAAGCAGTGCATGTTGGCTGGGACCATCCGCTCCTGCAGTTAGGAGCTGCTGCAGATCCTCTACTCTCCCACACGACACATCCCCCTACCCTAACCTCCTGTCCTGCTCCCCGTTCCCTCCTCCCCACCGCAAGACATCCTGGATCTGAGCAAGATCGAAAGATACCTGCCCCCTGCTCCCAATCTCCTTCCCTCTTCCCTTTCCCCCTTTCCCTCTCCACCCTCTTCTTGTCCCTTCCCAATTCTTCTCCCGGTTCTCGTCCCATTCCCTTGCCCTTCTCTCTCCCCCTGCTTCCCACAACAGGAGTGATTGGCATTGCAGACCTACTGCTAGACACGGCGCTGAGCGAGGAGCAGCGCATGCTAGCAGAGACCATCCGCTCCTGCAGCGACAATCCTCGGTTCCCAATTCTCTGTTCCCAATCCTCTGCTCCCTGTTCCCTTACTGCCCACGACAGGCGTTATTGGCGTAGCGGATCTCCTGCTAGACACGGCGCTGAGCGAGGAGCAGCGCATGCTAGCAGAGACCATCCGCTCCTGCAGCGACAATCCTCGGTTCCCAATTCTCTGTTCCCAATCCTCTGCTCCCTGTTCCCTTACTGCCCACGACAGGCGTTATTGGCGTAGCGGATCTCCTTCTAGACACGGCGCTGAGCGAGGAGCAGCGCATGCTAGCAGAGACCATCCGCTCCTGCAGCGAGGGGCTGCTGCATATCCCCTCCTCTCGCACACCTGCCTGCCACATACGCCTTACCCCCTGCTCCCCATTCCCCGCCTCCTCACGACAGGAGTTATTGGCGTAGCGGATCTCCTGCTAGATACGGCGCTGAGCGAGGAGCAGCGCATGCTAGCAGAGACCATCCGGTCGTGCAGCGAGGGGCTGCTGCAGATTCTATCAGACATCCTGGATCTGAGCAAGATAGAGAGCGATAAGATGGAGCTCGAGGCCACTCAGCTGGACGCCCGGCAGCACCTTAACAGTTCTCTGGCGCTCTTCCGCACCGCTGTGCAAGACAAGGGCCTTCAGGTGCGTGTACAGGGCAGAATAAGGGGCTGCAGGTGGGTGGGTGCTGAGACTGCATATCCTATCGGATATCCTAGACCTGAGCAAGATCGAGAGCGATAAAATGGAGCTCGAGGCTACGCAGCTGGACGCCCGGCAGCACCTCTCCAGTTCCCTCGCTCTCTTCCGGACTGCTGTCCAGGACAAGGGGATGCAGTTGCGTCCACAGACAGAATGAACAGGGACTGCACCTCACCGGGTTGTCCATTGTTTTGAAGCCCCTTCAAAGCAGGACAAGGGACTGCAGGTGCATTTGGGCTATCAGATCGTGCCACTTTTGAGAATTCTCCAAATGTGATACACATGCGTGCGTCTTTCTCAAAAGTCCCTCCTTTTCGCCCCTTCTTGCCGTCCCTACGCCCCCCTCCCTCCTTCAATTCCCTCCCTGTCCTCCTCCCTCCTCCTTTCCTCCTTCCCTTCATCCCCACCTGTTGACTCTCAGCTGAACGTGAGGGTGGCACCAGACGTGCCGCACGCGGTGACAGCCGATGCAGTGCGGTTGAGGCAGGTGCTGCTGAACCTGGTGTCGAACGCCCTCAAGTTCACCCACCACGGGCGCATCTCCGTCTCCCTCTCCCGCCTCCACTCCTGCCCCGGCTGCTGCTGCTGCTCCCCCGACGCTTCTGCTTCCTCACCTGCTTCTCCTGCTCCTGGCGATTCGAAAGCACCTCCCAGTGAGAACGAGGGCGAGGAGAGAAGAGACGGGGAAAGCGAGGAGGCTAAGACAGCGGACGGGGAGAGCCCAGGCGAGGAAGGGGGAAAGCAGGGCGAGGAGGGGGAGAGCAAGGAGCAGCAGGGGTCACGAGTGGTGCTGCAGTACACAGTGGCGGATTCAGGCATCGGAATATCAGAGGAGGGGCAGAGCCGCCTGTTCCAAGCGTTCACCCAGGCGGACAGCAGCACTTGCCGCCGCTTCGGAGGCACGGGGCTGGGTCTGGCTATCTGCCGGGCTCTCGTGACGCTCATGGGGGGCACGATCGAGCTCACGAGCAAGGAAGGCGAGGTGAGTGAGGAGGCCTGTAGCAGATGCATCATGGTATGGCATGGTGGTAAGTCACTGTGGTGGGGGTGGTGTTGCGGCACCTCAGAGGAGGGGCAGAGCCGCCTGTTCCAGGCCTTCACCCAGGCGGACAGCAGCACGTGCCGGAGGTTCGGAGGCACGGGGCTTGGTCTGGCTATCTGCCGGGCTCTCGTGACGCTCATGGGGGGCGCTATCGAGCTCACGAGCAAGGAAGGCGAGGTGGGTGGTGGCACAAACATGATGCAAGGTAGCTGTCTCACGTGTAGGATAGACTATTTGCAGGAGAGATGGTTCGCAGGCACGGGGCTGGGACTGGCCATCTGCCGGGCTCTCGTGACGCTCATGGGGGGCACGATCGAGGTGACGAGCAAGGAAGGCGAGGTGAGTGGTTGTGGCATGTAGCAGCAGGCAGGTCAATCATGGTATGGTATGGTAAGTCACTGTGGTGGTGGTGGTGCAGGTTCGCAGGCACGGGGCTGGGTCTCGCCATTTGCCGAGCGCTGGTGATGCTCATGGGGGGAGCGATTGAGCTGACAAGCAAGGAGGGCGAGATGAGGACTGGTTGGTACAAGAAGTATCTTTTGAGAGTTCTCAAAACCGCGGTAGCTCTTAAACCAGGCCATAGCACACATCCATATTTCGCGCTCTTCCCTCTCTCCCCCCCCCCCCCACCCTACCTTCCAATTCCAGGGCTCAACTTTCTCGTTCACTGTCTGTGTCGGAGCGCTCAAGGACAGCCCCGGCCAAACCTCCACTGCTGCCGAGCCTGTCGAGTACGTCTGGAGCCGAACCTCTAGCTACAGCAGCGGCCGCAGCAGCTACGATCGGAACAGCAACAACAGCAGCAGCGTTGTCAGCAGCGTCGTCAGCATTGCCACTGTGGATGGGCGAAAGGGGCGTGATTACAAGGGGTGTGGTGCAAAGAAAGGTGATTCTAACGAAAGTGGTACCAAGGCCTTTCAGGAAGAGTGCCGTGAAGTAATTCCTGAGTCGACCCAGAATCCTGTAGAGGGTACAAGGAGAGGAGATTCTAATGAAGGTGCAAAGAGAGGAGATTGTAACGAAGGTACGGTGAGGAGAGGAGATTGTAGCGATGCTACTACCACACGGAGCCAGCTGTGGTATGAGGGCGGAACAACACTGGGGAGACTGGAGTCGACGTTTGAGGCGCCTCGCGGTGATGCTGCGACGCGGTACCAGCAGACGTATGAGGGCGGAACTCTGGGGAGACTGGAGGAGGACACAGGGAGAGAGGACGTGGAGGGCTGCAGGGGAGGGATGCCGACAGGGGAGGAGGTGGAGGTGGAAGAGGAGGAGGAGATGGAGGAGGTGAACGTAGAGGAGGAGGGAGGGGTAGAGGTGGAGAAGGGAAAGGAATCACGAGCATTTGGAGCAGGAAGAGCAGAAGCAGGAACAGCAGCGTCAGTAGCGAGAGAAGCAGTTTTCACGAGGCTGAACGGTAGTGGGAACAGCGCTCACACCAGTGTCAACCAGCAGTCACTGCAGGATTCGTCGCAGCCAGCACAAGCCCAAGAGCCCGCCTCTCCACTGCACACACTCGCCCCAGCAGGCGCAGTGAGAGTGGCCCCCATGAGCATCCATGAAAGCGCCTGTGTAAGCACCCAGGGGTGCGCTCGTCCCTCGACTGAAGCGCGGCTTTCTGAATCGACTTTTGACGGACGCTTTGAGTCCACTCCTGAAAAACACGTGCCTGAGGGAGCCATGAAGGTGGCCGGGGGGAGTGCCGGTCCCGTAAGAGAAGCAGAGACCCAAAGCTTAGTTCCCGTTTGTGACACGAAGAGGCAGTTGCATGGGGTCCCCGTGGAGGCATTGGATCGGGGGGAGACGGAGACACAAGTCTTGAATCGACTCTGCGGGGGGAGCAGGGAGCTCCCTGCCCTTGAATCGACGCAGCGGTCGCCGCGATCACATGAGGCACGAGGGGTGCGGTTTTCTCTTGGCTTCACGGTGCTACCTGCTGGTGCTGGTGCTGCTGAGGAAGGGGGCAGGGAGGGATGCAAGAATGGGCTGCAGTTAGAGGTGACTTCTGAGTCGACTCAAAAGTCACCTCGGGAGGCACGAGGCGTGCGGTTTTCTCTTGGCAGCATGGTGGTGCCTGCTGGTGCTGCTGAGGAAGGGGACAGGGAGGGGTGCATGGATGGGCGGCAGGATGGGCGGCAGGATGGGCGGCTGGATGGGCGGCTGGATGGGCGGCTGGATGGGCGGCAGGATGGGCGGCTGCACATAGCACCTGTGAACCGGGCTGCCTTGTTGCCGCCGCAGCGGCGGGGAATGAGAGGAAGCTTCTCGGAAGGAGACATTCCCTTGATGACCGAGCCGGGGCAGAGCGAGTGCGACATTCAAGTGATGGGAGAGAGGAAGGGGGAGAGGAAGGGAGAGAAGAATGGTGAGGAGAATGGAGAGCGGAAGGGCAAGAGTGGCATCTCCCCGCCCAGTTTTGAGACGTCTCAAATCTCTCTGCCCGGGACGCATGCAGTGGCTCGCCGTGCCGCCACTCCCACTGCCGCCGCTGCCTTGCGGCCAACCACCACTGCATCGCAACCACTCGCAGCAGTAGCAGCAGCAGGAGGAGAGGGTCAATCTGTAAGAGTGTCAGCAGGAGCTGCAGCAGCAGGGGGGGAGCAGCAGCAGCAGCAGCAGCAGCAGCAGCAGCAGCAGCAGCAGCAGCAGCAGCAGCAGCAGCAGCAGCAGCAGCAGCAGCAGCAGCAGGCGGCGCTGCGGGTGTTGGTAGCCGAGGACAACGCGGTGAACCAGCTGGTGGTGACGCGCATGCTCAGGCGCCTTGGGCTGGACTGCCGCGTGGCTGACAACGGAGTTGTGGCCGTGGATGCTTGCAAGGAGGAGCGATTCGACCTCGTGCTCATGGTGAGTGGCTTGTGTGTGTCTGTCTGTCTACCGCGTGTGCGTGTGCGGGAGTGAATCGTGTGTGGTGGGGCGCTTGGGTTTGGACTGCCGAGTGGCTGACAACGGAGTTGTGGCCATGGATGCGTGCAAGGAGCAGCGATTCGACCTCGTGCTCATGGTGAGTGGCTTGTGTGTGTGTGCATGTGCACTTGTGCTCGTGAGCTCCTATGCATGTGTCCCCGTGTCTCCATGTCTGCATGTCACCATCTCTCCATCTTCTCCATGTCTGCATGTTGCTTGTCAGATGCCTGTATTTGAATAGTGTGCTCACTCAACAACGTCCCTCTCCCTCTCACATTCCCTCCAACCAATCAGGACTGCCACATGCCTGAGATGGACGGCCTAGAAGCCACGAGGAGGATCCGACGGATGGAAGCAGAGAGAACACGGGAGCAGCTGGCAGGGAGAAGCACAGATGCATGCACAGATGCATGCACAGATGCAAGTACAGAGACAGGAGGCCCGGTGCCTGTAAGCCCCACACAACACATGGCAGCTCAAGAAACCAAGGCAAATGGCGGGTGCGAGGCTGTTGGGGAGACTGTTGTGGAGGCTGTTGGAGATGCTAAGACGACGAGCGGACCGGGATCGGGAAGCCATAGTGGCGGCGTGATTGTGCCGCCGATGTTCATAGTAGCGTTGACAGCGAGTGCGTTTGATTTCGAGAGAGAGGCGTGCTTCTCGGCCGGGATGAATCACTTCCTCACCAAGCCCATTCGCCCCAAAGACCTTCAGAGTCTCATTAAACTGCTGCAGGTGCCAGCGAAAATATGAATGCTTGGCTAGTACCAGTATATAGATACCGTCATCGCCCGGATATAAGACATATATGTCTTATCTCGTACACGGGCAAAAATGCTTGAGTTATCTTGTAAACGGGATGGTTTAGGGTGTCTTATAAGTCTTATAAATGGAAACTTTTTAAACTACTTAGAAATATTTTCCGTACTTCTTGAAAAAGAGTTTCTCATAATGAGTGTGGATGTTGCGAAGGTGCCACTTCGACAACCTCTGCCCGGGACGCCACGTTATGGAGAACACCTGCAGGGGCAAATTTGGTAGGTCCTGGGTCAGCGCGTGGAAGAATTCGCGCTTCGCAAGGGTAAAAATGTACGCGGTATTTCAACTTTCGCTATAATTTATTGAAGTTTCGATTATAAGACATATATGTCTTATCTCGTACACACAAATAGGTGTTTTATAATGAGGCTAGCCTGTTTATAAGAGACACCCGTATAGTAGACAACCCCTGTCTACTATTCAACACTGTCTTATATCCGGGTGATGACGGTTCTTGCCTGGTAATCTCCCGCGAGAACTCTGACATAATCTCCATATTCCGTGCCTCATAATGTGGTACTTGATTAACTTCATTCATTTTTTGTGCTAATGATTTGTTACATTTAGCCTATGCTAGAATGGCCCCCCAAAGGAAGGTGCATTCAGCTCTATGGTGGAGTACGGACATAATTGCGTTCCGGTACAAAGATTTCAGGTACCGTACATTCCGGACAATACTCTTCAATGAGTCTGCAGAGCAGTCGGAGCAGTCGTCATAGGATTTCAGACCTTAATCATACAGCACACTAGATTGCATATTACATCATATAGTTTCAAAACGAAAGTGTAGGTATCCAAACTATTTAGACCTAAAAACCTATATGGGATGGGGGGGGAGGGTTCTAAACTAGATCTAGAAATGTTTTTCGGACTAGGTGGCAGGTCCGTAGACCTGCCACAAGATAAGGAGCGATAGACTCCTTACTGCATTCTCCTTTACGTGTATTGTCATAATCTTTAAATTTCGAAATTTATTTCAAAATTTGTCATACGGTATTAAGACAATACTCTTCAATGAGTCTGCAGAGCAGTCGTCATAGGTAACACGAGACATTAGTTACGGTAATGATTTCCTATGGAATGATGTCGTACGCTTCTTATCGGATGGAAAAGATATGACAAAGAAAAGCGATGGGGTGACGAAGTATGAGGCGCTAGTAAGAGCTTCGCACGATTTCTTATACGGTGCTAAGAATTATGGTGTGGACAGAGCGGCAGTGAGGGTGGCATCCATCCTGCCAGAGAATCTCGAACCTCTTTTTCAACTTTCTGAATTGTGGGCCAGAGATACGCGAGTATTCAGCATGTAACCATGTGGGCGATACTGGCAGTAGTATGCCAACGGAGTGCAATAGCACGATGAGATAGGAATGCTATTTCAGCCTGTGGCAAGCATGCACGTAGCTTTTGCAAGATAAGATTCTCGCAAGTTAACATTGTATTCAACATTGTAGCATGCGGATTTGGTGGGTGCAGAGTAGCTAGTAGTAAGAGGATAATGTCTCCCATTGTTTGCATGAAAAGCTGATGGAATTTTTCATGCTTACAAATTTGGCAAGTGGGATTTCGTACAACATACATGATGTTGCAGCTGCTTTATATGTACTGTGCATATCTCTCGTGTAACCAGTTCGCAGACGTGAATGACGTAGGAGTGGTCGTTTGAGTGCCATCAGTGATGTTAGCGCCCAAGTGAGTAGAGTAACTCTGCACGCAAAGGGTGAGGAGATTGAGGGACCCTGAAGGTGCGATCGTGCCATTGTCGCACTCCAATGATTAATATCAAATGGTTAACATGATATGCATGTTATTACGTATGACATATGGGCATCTCAACCCTAGATAGCAACAATGTTTCATAATGGGGCATCGTACACTTGCATGGGCGTAGTACGCATCTCCCTTCCCCTATCAGTTAATATAAGGTGAAACCTGTTTCGTTGCATAAAGTGATAATAGATGCTGTACGACGAGCATGTGATATTATGCGCATGATTCACCACGATGTTTCTATGGCAATGCCGAAGAATGGTCTGTTAAAAGCGCCCAGGTGTCGGCTTACGTGTGACAACATGGTTTGTAAGACTTTGGAAAATGGACTCATAGTGATATCGCACACCAAATTGCCTTAGAGGCACTCTCCGTGTAGATACGCAACTTGATTTGAGGGGATGTGAAACATCTGATCCAAGCATGAGAGTTTGCATGCGATAGAGTTATATCTCCAAGAATGATCAATTACCATTCCGAACTATCCAATTTGGCGCCTTGTTTCCTTGAGGGAATATGGATATGCCGTCGCACCATTGAGCATGTATCCACGCATGCTACTCAAGAGCCCAATCTGACAACAAGAACCTTTGTGACGATTGCGTCGCTAGGCCAATGCCAAAGACGCGTCGGAATGTGTCAAATGCAACCTTTGCCCAGTTATAGGTTGCCAAACATCAGCAATCTCAACGTAGAAGGTTCGTTGTATGATTGACAATATAGAAATGGTGAATTAAACGGGGCCAACATTTGCCTGACTGCCGTTACTGCATTTGCAAAATTTTAGAGTAGGGTAGGAACGCAGGTAGTTGATCACAAGTATGAGTAGTCTTGGCCAAGTTGTGCGCGACTACAACATAGCTGGGGAAGAACTTCATTTTTCCGAACACTTGGTCTCACTCACTCGACCAAGAATTTAGAACTTGATTACGCACTTAGAATGGCGACGAAAATTGCGTAATTGTCAGAATCTTAGGCGAGGAGAAGTGGTTTCAACTATCGAGAGGTTTGATACAAGAGTGAAACCTAAGGGGTTGTACCCCACAGTATGTACCCCACTAAGCCTACCCAAACTACAACATATAAATATATGTTTGACACACCCCCATAGGCAAAGTGGGGGATAACAGAGGGTCACAAGACCAGTCAGGAAGTGCAAATCAAGCTCAGGGTGGATCACAACGTCACCACGCAGTCTGAGCACAAGCAAAAGGCCACAAGGCCAGTTCACATGCAGAGATATATATGTAACAACAACAGCACAGTGATCTCTACCTACCAGAGCAAGCATGCAGGTATACATATAGATCACAGTACAAACAAAGCCTACAGCAAGTGAGGAAGCGTGGGCACAAGGCCTAACAAAGTACGGAAACGCTGATGATCACCAGGCGGAAGCGCCTTGGTGAATATATCAGCAGTGTTGGCCCTAGTGGCCACGTAAGCAAGACGAAGCTGGCCACGTTGCTGCAGCTCTCGAGCAAGGAAGTAACGCAGAGCGATGTGCTTCGTTCTGTGCTCCAGTCTGTGCTCCTGACACAAGGCAATGGCGGCCTTGTTGTCGACGTACAGCACTGGAGGAGAACGAGGCCGCTCTCCCAAGTCGGTCAGCAGGTAGGTGAGCCAGCGTAGCTCCTGTGCAGCCATGGCTGTGGCGTAGATCTCAGCCTCACAACTGGAGCCGAGAACTGAAGACGAGCGTGTAGAACGCCAGGAAACTGAACCAGAACCAAGGCTGAAGGTGTAACCCTGTGACGACCGTTGCGTAGCCTGGTCGTCAACCCAAGAGGCGTCCGAGTGACCAGTGAGGACAACGTCACCCCGTCCTCCAAGCACGAGCCCCATGCCCGATGTATTGCACAAGTAGCGTAGTACCCTCTTAGCAGCATCCATGTGCACCTTTCGGTGCCGACCAGGAGCCACGTAGCGAGCCAGAAGGCCAAGAGGGTACGCAAGGTCAGGACGAGTGCAGGTCATCAGGTACATGAGGCAGCCTACTAGCTCTGGGTAAGGACCACTCGGCTCTACGGACTCGTCCGAAGGTGGAGCTGAGAGCGAGTGACCTATAGCCAGAGGAGTGGCCTGTGCTGAGGACCAGGTGAAGCCGAAGGGCTGAAGGACCTGCTGCACCATGTGTGACTGAGTCAGTGTGATGGTGCGGCGTGCTCTGTCCCGGGTGATCTGCAAGCCAAGGTAGCTGTGCAGCTCACCCAGGTCTGTGCACGTGTGTCTCTTCTGCAGCTCCGACTTCACCAGGGCGAGAGCCTCAGTATCAGCAGTGGAAAAGACCAAGTCGTCGACGTACACGAGGATGTAGAACGCCGGCAGTGAAGTGTCGGTGCGCAGAAACAGCGACGGGTCAGCAGTCGACGGGGCAAACCCAAGAGCCGCAAGAGTCGTCCTCAGTGTGTCGTGCCACTCACGTGGCGCCTGGCGGAGACCGTAGACTGGCCGCCGGAGACTCCACTGGGTACCAGGAGGGAACGACCCATTGAAGCCAGGTGGGCGGCGCAGCAGATCTCCTCGTGCAGGCTGCCCTGTAAGAAAGCTGTGCTGAAGTCAAGAGAGTGAAGCTCGTAGTCACGCTGAGCGGCAACGTGCAGCAGTACCCGAAGAGTGGTCATCTTCGGGGTGGGGGAGAAGGTCTGGAAGAAGTCAACTCCCTCTCACTGACTGAAACCTCGAGCAACGTAACGAGTCTTAAAGACAAGCGGAGAACCTGGCGGCCGCTTCACCCTGAAAATCCACATGCCACTGACGATGTTCGCCCCAGGAGGGGGAACCTCGTCAACGTACGTACTTGTGGACTTCCAGGATGCCATCTCTGCGTCCATGGCTGTCTGCCACTGAGAGGAGTACTCACCCGCGATCGCCTCAGCGTAAGAGCGCGAGGTCGGGATGTCTGGTGCATCCGGGTCTCCCTCAGGGGCAAGCAACATGGCCACGAGATGAGGCACAGCGGCTGCAAGACACTCAAGGTCCTCCTGCCTGTCCTCAAGGACGTCCATGCCAAGAGCACACTCACCCCCGACGGACGGAGGACAGACAGACTCAGACTCAGTAACAAGACTAGCAGCGTAGTCTAGACGACAGGCAGCAGCAAAGTCAACAAGCTCAGCGACTAAGGCAGACGCAGCAGCAGACTCCAACGACGGGTCAGTGAC